GCAACATGTGTTGTATGTAGGGGTCTAAGGATAAGCTGTCCTTCTAATGATTACTTATATCTTGATTTAGGCATAAAAATCAAGACAAGTATAAGAGATACTCACAATAAGAATCATCTATATGAGTGTTGAACTGGGGCCGGTTCTATGAGAATGAAGAGGCTAAATTCTCTAGAAGCACTCATGAACAACCAAGAGCGTTCAAGGCCAAAATGAACACAATCGTGAGAACCACGATGTGTCGGAAGATATTTTGTGTGAAATCTATTGTCTTGGCTTACCTAAACGGCTGAACAATTCAAGGCATCGCGTCCATTGGTTAGCTAGTAAGTCCGATATGTTATCACTAAGGAAGGTTTAAGGCCGAAAGCTACCTATCCTGATGCAAGATATTTTCGATTTTTACTCTTTCGGCAAATTCTGCATATTGTTTCATTTCCATTATCATCAAATTCCATTCATGTAAGGGATTGTTAGAAACTATTTTTGAAAAAATCTGGAAAACAGATTTTTTCTAAACTTTGGTCTAATTTTAAGGTGGGATCTATGCGCCGAATTTCATGGGTCAAAGTGGTAACGCATTTTATGCCGCGTTGTGATTCACGTGGTATATTTGGTTGCTCAAAACCATTATCGTATGAATAGGAAATTGAAGCCAAAGTGAGCTTCATGGAAATGGAGCTTTGGTGGAAATTTCTTAAAGGTATGGTTTAAGGCTTGTCCCACATTGGTTTGGTGGGAAGAATTTTGTAGGTTTATAAGGCATGGGTTTGGAACTTGGGGTAGGTTCCAAGGGACACCTAAGTTTTGTAGAGAGAGAGGTTATGGGCAAAGTGGACTAGAGCCATTGGACCAAAAAATAAACACACATGCGCGGGTGCGTGGTGCGTAAGGTTGAGTTGGCTTGTCCGGCCCAATACCTACCTTTTTTGGGCCAAAAACTTTTGAATTTAATTTTATTTTTTGGTAAAATAAAATCTGTCTTCAATTTTTGAATTCAAATCTGTTTGCACCTTTTCAAATTCTGTACAGATTAATTCAATTCTGTCCAGTTCAAATTCTGTACAGTTTTAATTCAAATCTGTCCAGTGTACAGTTTCATATCTGTCTAACAGGTTCCTATCTGTTTGAATTAAAACCGGACAGATTCAATATCTGTTTGAATTTCAAACCAAACAGTCCCTTAACTATTTTATCTGTCATAAACAAATTCAATACCTGTTCAAGCAGGTTTTGCACCTGTTAATTTTAAACCAAACAGCCACCAATCATCTATAAATAAGACAAGTCCCGTATTTGTTTTTTTCACTGAATTTTCGTCCTCAAATTCTGCTTTACTATCTCTGCATTTTGCTGCATTATTTTTTTGTAAGAAAGAGTATAAACACAAAGTGTGTTCGTTGTGCAAACAATTTATAGTGTTGCTATTGTTTGCTGTTGATCATTTTATCCTGGGAGATAAACATCCACAATCTGAAAGCACTGTGGAAATGACGAATCTGTCTTAAGGACACAGTGTCAAACACTGGACTTGATCAAAAAAATTGTTCAACATATTAATTTGGTAAGTAATTAATTTATTTTATGTTTTATTATTTTTTCTGTTTCAAATTTTCATTTTGTTTTTTGTAACAAAATAAAAATCTGTTTTATTTAGTTTATTTTATTTTCTAGTTTGATTTTTGTAATCAAACAAACTATATCTTATCCTTTATTTATTCTATATTCCGTTTGTTGTTAAGTACACAAACATAATTTATTTTTTAAAAAAGTGAAGATTGTCATACAATCTTAAGATAGATTAATTTTTGGTGTCTTCATTGTATTTATTTTTATGTGTTTTCACAAAGTGATATTCTGATTGGAAAATACAAATAGTAGTAATATACTATTTGACAAATAGTAGTAATATACTGTTTATTTTATTTGATAACTAGTAGTAATATACTTGTGTCATTAACAATTGCAGAATATTAATTTATGTTACAGAAAATTAATGTGGTATTTTATTTTTCTAGTTTTAATAACAAGAAAAGTAAAATTATTTTGTATTATAATTTATTTTCTGATTTTAGTAACTAGAAAATTAATTTGTGTTTTGATTTTTTTCTCACTACTCTCAACAGCTTATCTCTCCCTATCCTCAGTTACATCCAACTCAGTGCTGAGAAGGGAGTTCTCTACAGAGTATATATGACACTCATGTTCATATAAATATAATATTAATGTTAACAAATTCACTTAGCTTGAGTTATCTAATGTCGTGCAAATTCCAAACAAGACACAATTATATCTATTTTTATAGAGAAAAGCCACACACTCAAAATTTTTATCCAGAAGTTTTATCTAGAATGTTTCTAAATTTATTCTATACACAGTTCTCACGCTACACTAATTCTAATTCAATTTCAACTAGACAAATCACATTTTGGATAAAAATTATGGGTAAGCAAAATTACTGTTTTTTAATATATATATATATATAAATGTCGGTTTCTCATAACTAATTAAAATTGATCAAGTTGATGAAAATGAGTTTGAAAAATTGCGTAGGATGCAATCATGGCACCACACTGGAAGTTAAAAGCCCACTATGTAATGTACGTAACAAGGGGTGAAGCCCATATGCACACCGCGGGTAGTCGGTGTTCAACGGTAGGATCCAGGAGGGGTAGATGGTGGTGGTGCCGCAGAACTTGTGGTGGTGAAACAAGCCGGAAGCGATGGGTTCAAATGGGTGGTCATCTATGAAGCACGTATACTTCAAATAGGAAGACATATCTGTATCGGATACCGATACTCCTCGGATACTTACAGATACGTATCAAATACTTATTAAAAATATCGGATACTTCTTAATTAATTTTTTATTAATTTTAAAGTATCGGATACTTAGTTTTGAAGTATCGGATGCTCCAAGTCATATATTATCGTATACTTCTTAATTAATTTTGAAGTATCAAATGCCCCAAGTCACGTATTGCTCTTTTTACGAAATTAGAATTGTATCATTTCTTGCAGAACATCATAATATAATATAATTACGAGGATAAATAGAATATTTTTACAATACTTTACTTAGTTTTTTTTATAAAAATAACATAGTAAGGTAAAGTAATAGTGTTAGACTTATTTATTTGATGATTTATTTAATTATGTTTTAATTTATTTGAAAGAGAAAAATAAAATCCAAAATTTATTTTTATGATTTATTTAATTATATTTTAATTAAAATTTATTTTGATGATTTATTTGAAAGAGAAAAATAGAATCAAAATTTATTTTGTCCCATTATTTCTCACCTAAACCTTTATCCTAAATGTTGTTAGAATGTATTTAATATTTGATTAAATCAGGAGTTCAAACAGCCCAAAACAAAGGTTCAAACAGCCTAACACAGCAGGAGGCCAAAAGGTTCAAAAGGTTCAAGTGAAAGATATTCAAATTAGTAATAATGGAAGTACAACGGCTATAAATGACTATAAAAGTTCAAAAGGTTCAAGTGAAAGATATTCAAATTTGTAATGATGTAGTAGAAGATATTCAAATTAGTAATGATAGAAGTACAACGGCTATAAAGGTTCAAAAGGCCAAAAAGTTCAAAAGGTTCAAAAGGCCAAAATGTTCAAGTGAAAGATATTCAAATTTGTAATGATGGAGTGGAAGATATTCAAATTTGTAATGATGGAAGTACAACGGCTATAAACGGCTATAAATTCAAATGACTGCAAAGGCTATAAACGGCTATAAATTCAAATGAATACAACGGCTATAATTTTCATTATATATACCAAAGCCTCTTATGTAAACAAGTTACAAAAAAATCTGAAAATATTCTTTCATCTATAATCACTCACATCTATTCTCAGAAATTATACACTAAGCTTTATAGCTTTAAGCCCATCTTTCTTGTGTGAGATTTACAGAAAAATCAAAGTTTCATTTTATATATCTATCTTTGAGAGATATTTATTGCAAACTTTCTTTGAAAGTAAAAATACCATTTCATCTTGTAAAAGTGTTGCAAACATTGTGTTCTTGAAATCTTGAGAGTGATTGTGAATCACCTAAGATTTGTAAGGGTTTGAGCTTGTGAAGTCTGTGTAAAATCTATAGAGGATTGCTCCATTTGTAAAGAGGTTGTTAGCACTCCTGTGAAGCTAGAAGATAGTGAAAAATCTCAAGTGAAGCTTGAGGAGTGGATGTAGGCTTGGTTGAAGCCGAACCACTATAAATCTGTTTGTCTCATCTTCCCTAATCTCTTTACTTTCCTACTACTGCTATAGCTATCTAATATTCATGTGTTAATCATTTGATTTACCCTATATGTTAGTTATACTCCATTGTTATTTTGCTTGATCATTTACTGCTAAGTTCATCATTGTGCTTGTTAATAATTTGTTGTACTAGTAGTTAATTTTATTGGGATATTATTAATTTTAATTTGTAGAAATCTAATTCACCCTCCCTCTTAGGTTACTTTTTGGGTAACAAATAAAATTCATCAAATTGACATATCTTCATTGTATCATGCATGTCCCCTACAACTACATAGAAGTAAGGATTAATAAGATAATATAATAATAGTAAAATTAACTATCAATAAATAAATAAGCAAATAAACTTGCATAGAATATTTTTGACTAGTGCAAAAGGAAAAACCATATGATCAAGTTATGGATTGTTTTGATATTATAATATAAACATATTAGACTTGATATTGAAATGAAATATTTGTAAGACCTATTGAAAATTTAAAAACTAAACTAGCTACTGGCTTAAATTAATACCTAATTCTTAAAGATTAATATTTTGTATTATAAAGTTATTATGATTTCTCAACATTCTTGAATATGTAACTCACCGCTAATAATTTATTTATTTATTATTTTTTTACAAATGTTTTCTAACCGTACCCGTATCTTAGTTTTTTTAAGTTTTGTTGTATCTTGTATCCGTATCTTGTGTCCGTATTCGTATCTCGTATTCGTACTTTCTAGGTGGCCATGAAGACCAATGAACATGCTATTTTCAGCACTCTGGCGGGTCGCACCTCAGCTGTTAGGGCCATTCCTGTAGATGTCCTAGCCAACACCTACCAGATTTCATGGGACGAGGCAAGGAGGCTGAGGCAGAGAGGGGATGAGTCTATCATGTTTGAACCAAGTTCAAGGTCTCGGAGTGAGAGGAGGGCTGATGCTTAACCCTGTAGGTATGTATTCGGGGGATCAATGTAGTTTTGTTTTTGTGCTTGTCTACTGCTACAACTGTTGAGAATAAGAAAAGCTTTTAGATGAGCTCTGTATTTCCCATGTAAGAGAAGAGTTTCTACTATTATTGCCCATGATAATATAAGAAGTTCATGTGGTTGTTAATGAGACATCAGAGGTTTATTTGGTTTTAACAGTGGGAAAATTAACTTGGTCATTATCTCACACCAATTATTATTTATTATGTTCCCTCACATTCTTTAATCATCTAACATAAATAATTAATATTTTATCTTTTCCATCAATCATATTATCATATTATCATGAAGTACTACTTGTTGACCGTACTTCCGAACTATCGAAAACAGTCCTATAAATATTTTAGTTTAACATACATTAAAAATAAAATTTTTCTTTTTAAAAAATAAATAAAACTATATATGATAAAATATTGAAATAAACTTTACTTGTGACACTAATACAGATTTCACCACTTGTCAAATTTATATAAAGGGAGCATATTTATTTTTTCACTTTATTCTTTGCCTTATCATTATTTACGAAAAAAAACAAAATTGAGAGAACAATGAATTAATGAATTGCTAGAGAGAGAACTGCGAAATGAAATTGTATGAGACAGCTTTGAATAGAAAATAAAAAGAATATTTTTATTGAGTTTTGTTTTGAATGGAAATGTGTTTTTGATGTTCGATCCTCACACATTTGGGCTTGTTTGGTTTTTTATTTTTTTTTCAAAAAAGAAAAAGAAAAAATCCGACTCGTTTTTGAAAAAATAAAAATTAACTTGACAAAAATAAATAATAAAAGAATATTTTAAAATTATTTTTGACTTTCTAAAAGATATTTAAAAAAAATTCAATTTGAGAAAGTATTTGGGTTTGGTAGGTCCATTTTGAGATTGATTTCGATAATTCGAATCGTTTACTTTTTAAGATTTGTTGAATAGAATATTCATGTAAAAAATCAAATTGATTAAATATTGATAATTATATGTTTGAATTAAATTTATATTACAAAAAATGATGACTACTATTGAAATTATATTTGTCGACTATTTTTTTAAAGGGGTAACAATAGGTTTTTTTATGTAATGTGGTAACTAATGTGACATTTTCTATTTAATTTTAAACAGTGGTTAGCTTAAAGAGTAAATTGAAAAAAAAATTAAATCATTAAGAGCCAAAGAGAAAAAAATGACCAAATATAAAAGGGTTAAAGTGTAATTTATCTAATTTTTAGATAAAAAAACTATTCTACAAAATTTACTATGAAAGTAAGTGGTGATTATATTTTTGTACTCAACATTCATGGATTCTTTACTTTAAAGTCACATGTCCACAATTTAAATTGTTAATCACCAATTTATTTAAACATATAAACTATTATTATTTATAACAAAAGTGATCTATAACAGCGATTCTTTTTCACGGTTTTATATTGTGTGAGTGATTTTCCAATCACACTGCCTAACTCGGTATTCAGATGGAGAGTACTGGCAGAATAGATGACACCTGGCTGACCTGCAACAGAAAGAGAAGATTCCGGCGGTGGTTCGTCCACCCAGGGGCACTCCGACGATCAAGTCAGTATATCTCTCAAAGATAATCAACAGTGCTAAACTCACTATTCAGAACATAAATTGCGTACCTTAGACCCATCGGGGGTGCCTCTCTTTTATAGATAACTCCATCCTAGTCCCTATAGAAGCCTAGCTTCAATGGACTTTTGTTCAGTGCTTATCCTGGACTCTTCAAGCGATAAAGATAAACTTCCTAAGAGTGTTATCCTTATCCACACTAAAGTCCTTCCTCACCCTAGGACTCTTGTGCTTTGTCTGCTTATCTCGGATTCCGATATCTTCGAAGATAACTTGGGCCTAGCCGAGATCACCTCGGCGTCATAACCTGGACACGTGGCACCTCGGCTGACACGTCGGCGTCACTTTGGCCACGTTTGGTACTCAGAAAATATATCCCCACAACTGCCCTAGGTTCTATTACCTTAGCATTCTGAGGTGATAGAACCTATATCGGTACTTTCTGCCAGTACATCGGCTTCAGCCGAGATCATCATTATAGGCCGATATACCTCCTTAAGGTTTTTAAAAGTTTCCAAGATCTCCTTCATGCATATGAGCTGTCATGCATCACAATTCAACCGTTTTAGCCACGTGTCCTTCCCTCACCATATCGTACTTGGTACGCGCTTCTAAATCATCTCGCGCATGTGTGCGCCGTCTGACGCTCACATTGTTTTAGGCGCATTAATTTTGTTTTGCCGCCGTTTCAAGTTTTAACAAAACTTTTTCACCCTTTCCTTATTTTCTCACTTTTCTCCATCGTCTCTGAAGCTTTCTCTCTCTAGCTTTTTCTTCCAAACCCTCCACTGTTCAAGCTTCTAAAGCTCTGCAATTTGTTCCGTCCACCTCCTCCAGCGAGGTTCTTGCTAATCCTTTCTATAGCTCCCGTTCGTCGGACTTTGGCAAACTCAACACCGGCTTCCTCTCTTCAGTGAGTTTACTGTTTCTCCTATTTTCAGTTCTTCATGTTCTTCATTACTTGTTGCCATTACTGCTTTGTTCAAACATTCGTTTTGCGAATCATATATCTGAATGTGATTATTCCACGACTTTGCTCTTGCTCACGTCTTGAATGCATGCACTGTTCATAACTTTTTTACACCTTTGCCACTGTTCTTGATTTCATACCCTGTGTACTTGCGATGTTCTTGATAGTCCATCTTTGTTCTTGAATCTAAATCGTATTCTTGTTTCTGTTTGCCGTGTTTTTCTAGATTCTCGTCTTCCGTCCTTGCTTCCATAGATCTAGGTTTGGGATTTGTCTGTAGAACCCACGAATTTTTAGGAAAAACTGAAACGATTCCCACACATTCTTACCCCAGTATTTACTTAAGTTTTTGCCGAGGTCCCAATATCCCTCTAAAACGCTTTCATTTGAAATCCATCTTCTTCTCGTTAAGCCGACATTATGGGTATGTGGAAACATAGGGTAGACACCCCGAGTAAATTAGAGCACTTTAGGCAGGAGTTTGACATCCCGGTCGACGTCCATCTGAGGTTGGCTGAGGAAAACGACTCTATCATGCCCATAACTGACTCCATGCCCTTCCCTGTCGTAGCCTTTATTAAGTGCGGACTCCGACTTCCACTCGACATCCTTTTTCGTGAGATAATCCATTACTATAAGTTGAACCCAATGCAACTTTCCATCAACTCCTACCGAGTCATTAATGGCATAATAACCTTAGCCAAACAAGAAAATGCTAGGATCACCTTAGCTGATATCCAGTACTGCTACACCATGTGTGGTCTCAAAAGAGATACAGGCTACGTTTACTACCTCAAGCCAAGATCTATAGAGTACAAAATCGTAGCTGACCTCCCAGACTCCAACAAGGGAGCTAGAGACGACTACTTTATTACCTCGGGGAATTGGGAGTTCACTCTAGATGAAGACCTCCATCTTTACCCTCTTCCTCGAACCGTTTTTGTAGAGGGCAATGGTAAGAGCCCTGCGCAATACTTACTTGCTTTCAAAAAAATTTCATAGTTTTTAATACTTTATTTGCTTCTAACTTCTGTTTTGCTTGCAGCTCTTCCTCAACCACAAAAGGGCTTCCGTTAGTCTTTCTTTCCCAGCAAAGACTTGAGAAGACTTTTGGATCTGCCAGTTCTCAAACGGAAGGCCCCTCTACTGCTTAATTTCATTCCGACGTATAAGTCAGCTCTTCCCGACGTCCCCAAGAAGAAGAAGAAGAAGAGTCTGTCTCCACCTTCTGCCACAACTCCTCAGACTGCTTCCACATCTCGGCAAGACCAAGGATCGACCTCTAATCCAGCCGAGCAGCCGTCAACCTCGGCTCCTTATCTAATCCCAATATCTCAGCGCCAATGTCGGCGACGAACTATTTTCGTTGTTGAAATGGGCCACAAAAAAGCAGTTGCTAAGGATCTTTTAGCCAGCATCCCTGATTCACAGCTCTTCCCGACGTCCCCAAGAAGAAGAAGAAGAAGAGTCTGTCTCCACCTTCTGCCACAACTCCTCAGACTGCTTCCACATCTCGGCAAGACCAAGGATCGACCTCTAATCCAGCCGAGCAGCCGTCAACCTCGGCTCCTTATCTAATCCCAATATCTCAGAGCCAATGTCGGCGACGAACTGTTTTCGTTGTTGAAATGGGCCACAAAAAAGCAGTTGCTAAGAATCTTTTAGCCAGCATCCCTGATTCAGTTGATGCCCAATCAGCGCCAACCCAGCCAAAGCCGAAGACAAAAAGGATTAAAGCCAAAGGCAAAGGTGACTCAGGTTGACACTGAGGACACTTTGCCGATCTCCAAACTGGCTGAGAGTGATAAGTCCCAGTCTACCGTGGAGAAGAGGCGTCCCGAGGCCCAACCATCTGATTTCCCGAAATCAAAGAGGCCGAGGTCATCCGCTACAACTACCTCGGGGTCTTCAAAGCGTGATGCCCCTTGGGCCCCCCAAATTACTTTGGAAGATAAGTCAGTTATGGCTAGCGACAGTGCTGACGACATTACTGTCGCCGTTGCCCTGAGTACTGCTCTGCTCCTTCTCAGCGATCTCGACCGAAACGCCGAGATGAGCGAGTATGAGAACTATGCTCTGATGCTCCAGCACTCTGTTTAGGTAAGTCTCTTTATTAGGAAATTTTTCTTTCTCTTCATTACATACTTACAATATTTTCTAATAACTTTTACTTTCAGGCCATCCAGCATGCTCATTCTTTCTCAGTACAATCTTTCCAGAACCGGGAGAAACTGGCCGAGAAGAAGAGGGAGGTCTCTGGTCTGCAAAAGACTAACAAAAATCTGCAGTCAAAGATGAAGACTTTGGAGGATCAGGCCGAGGCTGCCATCAGGCCGAAGAAAAGGCAGACTCTGCTAAGGCCATCAAAAAGGTGCTTGAGGCCGAAAAGAAGGATGCTGAGGAGAA